CGTTGAACGATCGATTTAACTGTTCCTCCTCCTCGACGTTTATCAGAAATAAATTGCTACGGCGTTCCTCGAAGAGGAGAACAGGCGCAAACACGCGTTTCCTCGTTTCGCGAGATAAGTGGGTACATATTGGCGAAAAATACTAACTAAATATACTCTCGAGTCGAACCTTTGTTTCCTTTTTTATATTTTTTCTTCTAGAGAAGTATGTATTCCTTCGAGAACATTGTTAGATGTGAAGTTACACAATGTGCTGTGAATATACGCACAAATATTTCCTGTCTTCCGTCAACACTTTCCAAAATTCAGTTTCCCTGAGTCATCGTCTTTCCCGTCGTTGCCTTGGCTATTCTCTCCTGCGACAGGAATTTGAAAATTCCGCAAAGGAGGAAGAATTTCTCACGGTTTCTACGTTGAAAAGCTCGCGAGAAGAAGGCAACGCCCAGCGGACGCATTTTGAGTTTCACAACGAGTCTACGTGGGAAAAGAAATCGGCCGGTCTCTCTAATTGTCCTCCCGGAGACATCGATGGCGGGTTAACGACCGTAGTTTCGCGTCTATCAGCTCGTTCTTAATTACGGAACGAAATCCTCTTCGACGCGCTCGAATCCTCTCGGTTTTTCTCTCTCTCTCTCTCGCTCTTTCTCGTCAACTCTTCGTCTCACAACCGCTCCTCGCCACGAGAAACGACTGGCCTTGTCTTACGGTCGATAATCTCACGATGGGATTCCATTGTTGTGGAATTAGTCACGGCTAAGCCTACGAAGATACATCCGGGACGTCGCTGGCCCAGCTCGAATACTCGAAATACCGATCTTTGAATTCACCTGCGGCCAATTCACCGTTAAACCACTCGCGACAACGAAAGAAAATATCGTAAAATTAACGGAGGAGCATCGATGAATCGCAGCGGGCAACGATCGAAAAGTTACGTGGCGAAGTATCAAGGACGCTTGTGAAGAAAGTAAGAAAGTATCGAAGAAAGTAAAGGATGTCCTTGGACTGGCTGAACGAGCTGTCGCATCACAGATGCTGTACGATCGCGTTCGATCTTTCGTTCTCTCTATTCTCGGTATTCATTCGCACATCGAGAATCTTCGTTTCTTTCCGAAAGAATCGCGAATTGAACGAACGAAAGAGTTTGGCCAGTGCGTACTACGTACGGTTTATTAATATATCATATGGTAACACCTGCACACACGATACCACCTTATGCAATAATTCTCACGGTTCACTGCCGCAAAGTCAAACGACGAAGGATACTCTTGTCTTGCTCGTGTCGCGCAGTTTCGAACCGTTCGTTTTAAAAAGGCCGGGAAAAAGAGAAAAAAGGACGTTGTATCCGTGGAACGAAGGAAGGAAGGAATGAGGAAACGATGTACAACCATAATAATCCATTGTATGGAAATCACAGTTATTCATGGAGAAAGTTTTTTGCAAGAAAAAATCTCGGGATACTCCGATTTATTACACTCTAAACACGCCGCTTCTTTTTACGTCCTGCGAAATTCAATTACCCATGCCTGGCTCACGTTTCAAACGATAGTAAATATATAAAACCTTCCATAAAATATGCAATTTACCTTTCAATTGATAACTCGCTGAGTTTTTCGACGCAACGACTTTTCCTCGAGCAACATTTATTTTCGTAAAATCTCCAAGAGAGAGAGAGAGAGATACACAGCTCGGCACAACAATAGCCATTACAAAGAGCACAAGATGTGACGTAACCAGCCGGAGCCATTTGAATCATCATCATCATCATCATCATCATCATCATCATCATCATCATCATCATCATCATCATCATCATCATCATCATCATCATCATCATCATCATCATCATCATCATCATCATCATCATCATCATCATCATCATCATCATCATCATCATCATCATCATCATCATCATCATCATCATCATCATCATCATCATCATCATCATCATCATCATCATCATCATCATCATCATCATCATCATCATCATCATCATCATCATCATCATCATCATCATCATCATCATCATCATCATCATCATCATCATCATCATCATCATCATCATCATCATCATCATCATCATCATCATCATCATCATCATCATCATCATCATCATCATCATCATCATCATCATCATCATCATCATCATCCGAATCCTCTCGGTTTTTCTCTCTCTCTCTCTCTCGCTCTTTCTCGTCAACTCTTCGTCTCTACATCTCACAACCGCTCCTCGCCACGAGAAACGACTGGCCTTGTCTTACGGTCGATAATCTCACGATGGGATTCCATTGTTGTGGAATTAGTCACGGCTAAGCCTACGAAGATACATCCGGGACGTCGCTGGCCCAGCTCGAATACTCGAAATACCGATCTTTGAATTCACCTGCGGCCAATTCACCGTTAAACCACTCGCGACAACGAAAGAAAATATCGTAAAATTAACGGAGGAGCATCGATGAATCGCAGCGGGCAACGATCGAAAAGTTACGTGGCGAAGTATCAAGGACGCTTGTGAAGAAAGTAAGAAAGTATCGAAGAAAGTAAAGGATGTCCTTGGACTGGCTGAACGAGCTGTCGCATCACAGATGCTGTACGATCGCGTTCGATCTTTCGTTCTCTCTATTCTCGGTATTCATTCGCACATCGAGAATCTTCGTTTCTTTCCGAAAGAATCGCGAATTGAACGAACGAAAGAGTTTGGCCAGTGCGTACTACGTACGGTTTATTAATATATCATATGGTAACACCTGCACACACGATACCACCTTATGCAATAATTCTCACGGTTCACTGCCGCAAAGTCAAACGACGAAGGATACTCTTGTCTTGCTCGTGTCGCGCAGTTTCGAACCGTTCGTTTTAAAAAGGCCGGGAAAAAGAGAAAAAAGGACGTTGTATCCGTGGAACGAAGGAAGGAAGGAATGAGGAAACGATGTACAACCATAATAATCCATTGTATGGAAATCACAGTTATTCATGGAGAAAGTTTTTTGCAAGAAAAAATCTCGGGATACTCCGATTTATTACACTCTAAACACGCCGCTTCTTTTTACGTCCTGCGAAATTCAATTACCCATGCCTGGCTCACGTTTCAAACGATAGTAAATATATAAAACCTTCCATAAAATATGCAATTTACCTTTCAATTGATAACTCGCTGAGTTTTTCGACGCAACGACTTTTCCTCGAGCAACATTTATTTTCGTAAAATCTCCAAGAGAGAGAGAGATACACAGCTCGGCACAACAATAGCCATTACAAAGAGCACAAGATGTGACGTAACCAGCCGGAGCCATTTGAATCATCATCATCATCATCATCATCATCATCATCATCATCATCATCATCATCATCATTTGCCATAAGAAGCAAAGGCGATTTCACGAGCAGTCTAGAACGATGTTCGACTATAAATTCTAGAGTTTATACACCGCAGATGCAGTGAAATTATATTGCCGGCTACCGGTATGTAGCCGGGTGCGACACGTATTGTCGTAAAACCGCGGAGCCGATGAGTATGTCAATGTAAAGTGGAAACGACCTTCCAGTGTCAGCGACCACCTTTTGCTCGTCTTGAGGACGAGCGGCTCTCTGCCGCATGGCGAACGTAACGAGACAATACCAAGGACCAAGTTCGGCGTCGACGCGTATTACATACCGTGCTGGCCACGTAGAAAGTCGTGGAACGGTGCACACGAACACGCTCTTTCATTCAGTGAAATTTGACCGTGATCGTTCGACGAAACAAAAACGACCGACTTTCGATACAATTAACGATACCACCTGTGAAACGTTGTTTCGTGATTCTTCTTCTAAGTTTTTTCTTTCCTCTCTCTCTCGCGAATCCTCTGAATTCTGTTTCTTTTTCACGGCCGATGTGTATTTCTTTGACGCTTTAATTAGAAAGAAATTGTGCGATATCGCGATGATTCGATGAAGATTGATCGAGGTGAAATTTTCGCTTCTCGAGAGAGAGAAAAGAAAGTGAAGGTAAAAGCGAAACGGAAAAAATAGGAATTACCGAAATGAGCAGGTTGTCTATGAAATGGTGTGAGAGGTGATTATAGAACGTGACGATTTGGTATTCCGTTCACGTTGCATCGAGGTGAGTTTTACAACGCTAATTCTCCGTGGTTCCCCTTTTCACAAATATTTTATTATCGATCCGTCCCTGGTTCTATTTGCACATGGTGACAGACGCGCGACGCAAGGCGATTGTCTACGTGACTGCCGTAGCTTCCTGCCCGATGTGTCCTACATATATGTTCAAGTGAGTTCCTTCGGATCACGGTGTGGCTCGTCGCCTGACGGAGCCTGCTCGATTTCCGTTTCTGCAAACTCGCGAAAACTTGGCGGACCGTGGATCGAACGACTGTTCGCTAAGATCTCGATCTTCTCGCGAGAGTGAAACGGAAATCGTAAGGCTGACGGAACAAATATTGTCCAGAAATGAATAATACAATTTTGGAAAATTATTCGTTGATGTTTAAAAAATTAGGTAGGAAAGTGTGATCTGAAATTTCCTTTCGAATGAAAAGTCCTTTGAAAAGGAACGTTAGAGAAGCCAGTCGAGGTGAGGCTAAGCTAAGATGAGGAATAAAATTTCAAAGAACGATTCGTTAGAAAGTGTGATTCCAAGTTCCCTTCCGAATGAAAAACCCTTCGAAATGGCACGTCGGAGGAGGCATTCGAGGTGGCCTCGTTGTCGCCGCGTTTCAAATCCGACAAACTCTTCCATCCAGCGATATCTCGAGGAACTTGAATATGTGAGGCCAGTTGGCAATTTGGAGGAACGTGATCGCATTATAGATACCTGGCGTAGAATCCAAAATAGTCGTGGAATTTTCAAACGCGTTTAGCAACAGATGAAGCAACTCTCCTTCAAACGAGCCATTTATAACAACGCTACTTTCCTTTTCTACGATCCTCCTATCACATTTTCGAAAAGTCACGTACATTTAGGAAATTCCAGGTTTAACAATGCTGCATTGTCAATTTCGCAGGTGTACCTGTGCCAGACGAGCCCGATGGCGTTACCACGATCAAAACGATCAACGCAACAACGATTATACCAACGATCACCGTCGAGCCTGAGATTCAGGGCCACTCGATGGATGACATTTTGCCTGGTACCAAAGCACCACCGAGTCCAGTGATATTCGTGGACGTTCCAGAGCACACGGAAACGGAACTCGGCTCGTCTGTGCTTCTGGCATGCAGAACCGCTAGTCCTGTGGCCGAGTGCCAATGGTCCTGGCAGCCTTTACCACCGGTTCACCTGCCACTTCCTGATATCAGTGAAAGCCCAGCCACCAGTTAGTTATCAGTACCACTTTTATCCACTTTTATGAATAATCAACGGACCGTGTAAAATGAAATTTCTCCTCGTGAAAAACTTCAACTGAATCTTTGTAATTGTCGAATACGTCGATCCTTGATAGAATATTTCGAACCGCTGTGCGTTTTTAAGGATGTAAGAATTTTTGAAAGGACGTGAGAAAAGTAGTACGACATTTTAAACCTACTTTTAGTAGGATCGTTTATTTGTTTCGATAATGACGAGAGGACGATGTTTGCGATATGTCAAGGTCTGTTGTTTTCCACGGTATTCGTGTGTCACGTATTTATCGGAGTTCTCGTGTAATTTATAGCCACCACGGTCTCGGTGATTCAGACGACAACCACGCCGACTACCAATCCGTTGCCGGTACGACAATTTCCTGCCTTTGGGAACAATAGCAACGACTGTTCCGTAAGATTCTCGAGTACGAAGCACGAGCAGACCGGATACTGGAGCTGCGCCGCGAGAACTTCCACGAATGATCCTTTCACCAGCACGGAACCTGCTAAGTTGAGCATCGTTAATGAGCACCAGGGTATGGAATGTTGATTATCTCTCTCTCTCTCATCTGTCCTTCTAATTCAACCTCCAATTTCTTCATCTGTTGACGATTAAAAAGCGAAGAGAAGAAGAGGGGAAAAGTGTGAACGTTTACGAATATCTACAGGTCCCACGGTCGTGTTCGCGAAACTTGATAACGTGGTCGAGGTACCGGCAGGATCCTCGGCGCAAATAATGTGCCAGATGAAATCACCTGTCCGTGAGTGCCAATGGTCCTGGAGGCAGCTGAACCAATCGCAACCGTGGAACCTCGAGGTGAAACGATTTCCAGCATTTGGAAACGACAGCACCGATTGCAGTATCAAGTTCAAGAACGTGTTACCGGAGCAAGAAGGATACTGGACCTGCGGGGCCAGAATCGATCCAAATTCCTCGTTCACGCAGTCCAATCCTATACGATTTCTGATTTCGGAAGGTGAGAAAATTTTTCGAATTTTAACCTTTCACCACCGAGTTATTTCGTTGACACGTTCACTACCACGGCTCTGTTCAAGTATCGCCCCACTATCCTTGGAATTATTTTCACTTACCCTCTTAATATCTATAGTTTTTTCAGTCTTACATGATACGATAGATGCCTGCACTTGTACACAGCTGATGTTTCTTAAAAACTCAAACTGTGCGTTCTATCACGGGAATTTGTGCGTCACACATATGTGACGCTGGTAGCGAACGTGTTGGAGAACTTATTCGATCATCGCGTCTGTAATAGACACTAAAATCTTTGTCAGAGTACTCAAAGAGCACTTTGAAGTACACTTTCTATATTTCTTACGTTACAGTCGAGTTTGTGCAATTGTCAAGAGGAATCCAAGTAGCCTCAGGTGAGTCAGTGCTCCTCAGGTGTCTGGTGAACAAGCCAGTGGTTCAGTGCGAGTGGTCGTGGAGATCGTCGAACGCGACTCAAGAACCTCTGTTGGTGAAGAAGTTCAACCCGAACAAAGATACCGATCACGATTGTTCGGTGAGGTTCAAGAATATCCTGTACGAAGAGGAGGGACTGTGGACGTGTGGTGTTCGATTGTCACCTGAAGGAATTCTCCACGAGGCACCTGCAGCCACTGTCAGCCTTCTTCCCACAGGTACAAACCTCTCCGAGAAAAACTGACAAACAGCATAGCAAATCGAAGAAGTATTCTTTTCGCATGTCGATTTATCCGAAACGTTGTTGTTCCAGCCAAAGTCAGCTTCGTTGAAATGCCAACGGACACTTCCGTACCGATTGGTACGGAGGCCACGTTGAAATGCGTAACGAGCAGCCGCGTGGAGAAGTGTACGTGGACCTGGAAACCACTTCACGGAAACGAGCCAGAGATCGTCGTTCAGGAATTCCCGAGCAACGGCGACCTTGGTAGAGACTGTTCGCTCACATTGCCGCGTGTGTACACCGAAAAACAGGGTCAGTGGGCCTGCCAGGTGTCTATCAGCTCCCTGAACACGATGTTGACCTCGTCGTACGCGAAACTCACCGTGTTCGAGCAAGGTATGCAACCTTTTGTATTCCTCCATGTCCTTACCTCCACTGCCTGTCAGTTTCACGATCTAACTACACAGGGTGTCGTCGAACAACCGGTGATTGCACCGTAAAAGGGCGAGTCTATCAGGTTGTACAACTGTCAACGTAACTGACAATTAGTCGTGACTAGTAAACTCTGTGTAACTTATATTTCTATCGGGTGAAAAAAATGTAGATAGTTCGTAGATAAACGAAGGTCCTCCAAAATTCATCTCGAAGGTTTATTAACACCTGACGTTGAAACAGGTTCGACGGCCTGCGAAATGGCCTTCGAGAGGAAAATTATAAACCAGTTTATGTCGGTGACCTTGGCACGACCTTGAAGATGACCTTGGAGGACATTTTTATAATTTTTTTATCGTCAGATGTACGTTCTCAAGCCGTACAAACTTCTCTCGGTGAATTTTCTTAATTTCACTAGAAATAACTTTCCTCGTAATTCCACCGTCCTTAATTCCTCTCCGACCGATCGTGAACCGTTCTTCCTCACTTGCAGACGAGGTGAAGTTCTCCGAGCTGTCGCAGGACATTCAAATCTCAGCAGGCGGTACCGTCCTCCTGCATTGCGTGACCTCGTCGTCCGTGGAACAGTGTCGATGGTCCTTAACGCCTGTGAACTCGAACACCACCGTGGTGGTGAAGCAATTTCCGGCGAACGGAAGCGAGGCCAGGGATTGCAGCGTGAGGTTGTCCCATGCTCTAGCGGAACAGGAAGGATTGTGGACCTGCGGAGCCAGGATGCGCGGTAGACAGAACTACACAGACGCGCCACCTGCCAAGCTGAGCCTCTTGGAACCAGGTATCATTGAATCTTGAGACGGATTCGCGACATTCCTTCCACGGGTGAGGGTGTAGAGAAAGTCGTCGTCGTTTCGATCATCGGATCTGTGGTCGACGCGTGTCCGCCTCGCGATGTTCGCAAGCAAACTCATCGAGACGTGGTCGTCGATCGACCATAGATCCTGGACAATGTATAGCTTAAGCGTGTGTTATGTATATAACAGCAGCGTGCAGGATGAGTCTTATCGTCTTGAACTTGAAGAGTATCGGCGGTGTAACGCGTAGCTATTCGAATTTTTGAAAAATCAAAGAAGAACTTGGTATCTTTGAAAATGTGGCGCTGTATGGATTCAGAAAGATCGAGTGTACAATTTGTTGTTGTTTAAACGGAGAATAACAGCGTGCTTCGCGGAGAGAATTCCAAGACATTCATCTCTTACGAAACCGTAATACTTAACGATCGCCGTAACAGTACACCGATTCGTATCTTTAAATACGCGATTCCTCTTGTTTCGTTCAGCCGGTTGGATTTGTTAAACTCGAAATTGAAACTAAGATCAACAGGGAAAAACCATTCTATCCGATGCTATATTTTTTCTCTCGACATTCGTGTTTTGCAAAACAAACACGGATACACTCGGACGTTAAGTGACTCATCCTGCGCAACGTGTACATGAATGTATCGTGTAACAAACAGTTTAGCATTTGTGATCGATATCGTTTGAAAGAATGTCACTGGACACCGATGGATAAATAGACACACAGTGACTGTAACACGCTTGCAAAGTGTCGTCGAGAAAAATCGATCGCTCTGTCGTTACGTATCGCAAGCCTTATGATGTACAATTGAAGATACGACGAAGGGGAATTTCTAGGAAAAAATCGAGATCGATCGTCGATCTTCAAAGAGGATCCAATCGATCGCGTCTAATGGTTCTCCGAAGACTGTTTGTGGGTGAAGGCATCGGCGGTGTGGTGATGGAATCTGCTTGACGTTTAAAAAAAATTTCATATCGACGTCCATCTCTTCTTTCATGACTTCAGAATATTAGTCATCGATACAGGAATACACATCGTGGAACAGGTAGACACGCGGAAAAAGGAGAAGAAAACGTTTCTCTTTTGAAACGAAACCTCCGTGTTTGTATCTCTTCTTCTTTGTTTCGTCGCGAGGATTACGTTGTTACGTCCGAAGGGAAAAAAGAGAAGAAGATTCCTTGCTGGTTATACCCAGCCATACTGTTGCCGTCTATTTGCCATTCGGTCACGTTTGCATCGATTAACATTAGATCCCCTTAATTTATCACTGTTTGGTCACATTATTTCCCTGACAATTCCTTACGATAAATTTTCACGAAGATTTATTAGATCGTTTTATGCCTCGAGGCTGTCCCCCGTTGCCCGGCAATTAATGAGCGATTAATAATGCCGTCCGGTTTTCTTACGAGGCGCATGTATCATTAAAAACAAAAGGAAAAAAGGAAGAAACGAGGCTAAATAACATGTCCAGCTAGACGGTTTCATCGATAACAATTATTTCATCCACGCGATTACCTTCTCTATATTATTTCTCCGAGCACTAAATATGTTATGCGGTACATGTTTCTGCGCGCTCACTAAACTCTATCTCGAGCGTAATTATCTCTCTTTTTCTTTTCTTTTCTTTTCTTCCTCTTTTCTCTCTCCCCTCCGTCGATGGCACGCTTAAGGAGCGCACATTCTCGTTAAATAACATCTATCACTCAATGTCATTCACCCTTTCTTATTTATATGCTCAACGGCAGGTCTACGCTCAAATGATTTCGCATTTAGCATAGTTAGTAGCCGCGTTAGTAGGTACGCGAAACCTGTATTTGTATGTGTAAGCCTTTTTCGCGAGCACTCTGGCATGCATTTTATTGTCATTCCTCACGTATTATTTATTGTCGAAAGTCGCTAGCGACAGGGAAAGTGCTCGAGCTTTGGAAAAAAAAAAACCTCTCGCCGTCGAAACTTCGCGTCGATCCTCGGCGATCGTATATCTCGCGAACCGTCCATCCTTCGATCGGGCACGACCGAGGAAATTTTTCGTTTTCTCTCGGTGTGTCGGATCGTGCTCGAATGTTCTTTTTTTTTTTTTTTTTTTTTTCAAAGCAACGCCACGCTTGTACGTTAGCTCGAGGGCGTGTCGACGAACAGCAGAACAATTAATCGCCTAATTGCCCTGCTGTGCAAGTAACCAGGGAATAAAAGCCGTTCTTTCGTTCGCGTTTTCACCGACGCGACACGATCGAACCTGAGACGCGCTTAGCTAGTAATATTATTTAAAAAGAAACAACAACAACAAAAAAAGAAAATATCAAGACTACACGTAGAAACTTTTAACGTTTAAGACTAAGGAATATTTATTTGTTAAGCCGAAGTAGGTCGTTTAAGAGACTCCAGTGTGCTAATAACGATTAGACTCGTCACGGAACTGCTAACGAATCGGTTGGCCTGGTCCCGTATATTGCTAAACGAGAAGTCAACGTACCGACGACACTATGGAAAAAAAAAGAAAAAAAAACGTCCAAGATGCAGGAAGAAAGCAGGCCTCTCGTTATTTTATTTTTTTTTTTTTTTCTTCTGTTATTCGAATACTACGATATCGCACTTTACTATTATTACTCATTTATATTCAGCTACATGCTAAAAGTAACTTGTAAGTAGACAATTCTTACTATTAAGCGTCCCGTTTGAGATCCTCACATTCGTCGTTTCGGATTGATATAGCGTTGTCGTTGCACGTCAGAACACGACCGACCCAATCGCTACAAAAAAAAAAAAAAAAAGAAAAGTGAATAATCACTACGAGTTACTGTAATTACCGAAGGCAGAAAAAGTGATACCCGTAAATAATATCGAATATATTATGGGTGGGTCGATTCTAATTGCAACGTTACAGTTCGACGTGTGCCCGGTCTCACCTGAGGTAACACGATCACGTATCGCGTGCAATAATCAAACGTAGAACGCTTTCGTTCGAAGCTAATTAATACCTTCGTGTGCCATTGAGTTACTGTTAAGTTTCCAAAGCGAGCAATTCGAGAATCTGCACCGGGGTTGCGAACGGTGGATCGTACGTACGTTTCCGTGCACGTTTCAGCGTCAGTCTCTCCGGCATTGTAAACGATTTCTTTAAATAAATGGTAATACGAAAACGTCCACACCTTGCCTTTATCATTCCCATTATCTTCGACTACTAACAGATACACCGAATACACCCATTATTCGCGACCATTGAGAAATCACTTGAAACGATGTGAACGTTCTTTTACCTATCTAGAAAAATCGTCAGGATCGTTTTAAATAACACAATTTATGTACGATAAACATGTTACACACCTTCGACACATCCACACACATCTCACTGTTGTATTCTAACAGAAAACAAATGCCACGCGAAAATTGCTTGTGCACAATCCGAGCGTTCAATGTTACACGCGTCGATCTATACACGTTCGTTTCCGGAAGACTCTCTGTACTATGGAAGAGGAGGCATCAACGCTTTCGGTGATTGGGATAGAAATGATGGAACAGATTGGTCGAATTCGAAGGGTTGATTAAAAAGAGATTGATGATTTTTAGAGCCAGTGACTGTGGCACTGTGGGCTTCGCCCCATCAAACGGTCACTCTTTCGTGCAAAGTAGAGACCGTGCAATCGAAAGTGCAATGCCATTGGATCCATACGCCGAAACTTCATATTTATCAGAATACGAGTGGAACGAGAAGGTAATTTGTTTTCTTTCTGAAAAATTGACGAAACTGATAAGAACTACTTTCGTTATTTTGTATGAATTTTTAGGCACAATATAAATATGGATTATAGTACAGGAATATGTACTTTGGAATTTAAACCTGATAATTCGGATCTAGGGCAATGGTTGTGCAAATTTACAATTCCTAGAGAATACGCTGATGAAGAGCTGGGAAGCGCATCTGTGGTTTTGTTAAATAGACTAGGTGGTAGGTATTATTGAATTTGTCGAATTTTAGCGTAATTTCATGTGAGTATATCTTTGAATAGAATTTTTTTACTAACTATTTCAGTGATTTTTTCTTTTAATTTAACATTGTAGATGAGAGACTAGGATGGATTGTTGGTGCTTTAACAGCTGTAACTTTATTCCTGATGATTATTATAGTTGTTTTGGTTGTTTGTAAGACACGTTTGTTTGTCAGGAAGTCGTCACGAGTGTTAGAAACAGTTCCTGCATCGGGAACGAAGCAGAACTCACAGCTGAACAGCGAACGGTATACCGAAAATCCATTGAAAGTAGATGTACATGCTTGTGAGCAAGATAATCAAAATGCAACGAATATTAATAGTGTTCTTCCTAACAGAAGTCCGCACTTATACGAACGCGTTGAAAAAGTTCGGAAATCGTCGAAAGTGTATGAAAATATTCGAATATGAAGAAACCTTACTTTCGTTTTAGATGTAATGCGAATAAAAATTACCCTCCGATACAAATATATTTTTATCAAGAGAAATGTATGTACAGTACTTTTGATACATGTATGATTTCTTAATTTAGATATGCCAGAAATAAATGTAATAATAAATAAAACACACTGGTAAATAGAGAAAGTCAGAAAATATATTTTATATGATACAAAATTTGTTTACAGTGATTCTAAGTATTAGCAGCTATTATTTAAGAGCATCTAATTGTGACTGTATTTTCTCTAGATTTTGATACAGATCTACCAGTTCTTTTTTATTAAATTCAACTGTCAACTTAGATTCCTCTTCCCCTGTCAAATTTAATTGCAGTAATGCCATTGGACGCACATCTTTTTTAATTGTGGAAGATGCAGCTTGTATATTTAAACACCAGTCAATCTTTTTCAGCTGAAATAACAAATACTTTTTGATATTAAAAAAAAAACATTTATATATTGAGCATATTGACAGTTTATCCTTGAAACATACCTGAATAGGGAATATAGACATCTGTCTAAAATGATCAATTATGCCTTTACCATATGTGATCCATGCATTTAAAAATATTTGAACTTTGTCATCATCTGCATTGAAAGTATCCTTTAAGGTACTTTCCATTAAGTGTGGTTTTATAATGTTGCTTGCAGCTTGTTTGTAAATCAATATTATTGCATCTAAAAGACAAGCTAAATCATCTTTATTTAAATCCAAGGAAACTAACAGTTTCTCTTCCTCCTCTTCGCTGAATATTTTTGTATTAACATTAGACTGAAGTGTTTGACAAATACGATTTATTAGCAAACGAAATTTACTGCTGTCTACTTGATTTGCTATTTTAAGACCTTGCTCAAACCTGCAACAATTAATGTCAGCATTAGTTAGAACATAAAATATAAGATAATACAATAGGAATACATAATTCGTAACAAATTTCGAACTTTAAACACCTTGTAAAGAAGCAGTACTAAATACAATTAATTACTTTGAAGAAATTCTAAAATTTAAATACTACCGCGGTGTTGCTGTGATCCAAGAAGCCATGATACTTGACACATTTATAGGTTACACGACTAATTTTAGAATAAAAAATTGTAAAGATTAGTTAACATGATTTAACATTTTATCCCTAGCAACAGTCTGGTTAAACAACACAGAATTGTTGAAAAACTCCAAGTAACTCGATATCAGACCTCATGTCATGAATTACACATTCGTTTAGTTGGGCGTGTCAACATTAAAATTGCGCACTTGACAAATTTACAACAATCAAATTTCTACCATATTTATGAACATAATTTATAGAAATATATGCCGCAGGTAGTAAAATCCAGTAGTATACGGGCTTATTTTATTTCTATTAACGATAATTTATGATCTGTCGAAAATTTATTACACGTACATTAATGCACGTGTACATACTGTGTTGTAACCGTGATCACTGAATTAAAATTGATAACCGTTTTGTGGTCGGGTAGAAAGCGTCGTTGATTCCGTTCAAAGTTCTTCTACACTGCTAATAATGTCTTCGCAGGATTACAGATACGATAAGGTATAATGTTAAAGCTATTTATTGATGCTGCACGAATATATTAATACATAATTATAATATTTCTTCGTTTTATAGGAACATCCACGAAGTTTAATTCCCGAATTATGTCGACAATTTTACGATTTAGGATGGGTTACTGGTACTGGTGGCGGGATATCTATTAAACATGGGTTAGCAATAGTTTTTTATTTTAAGTTTAATACAAAAACGTATAAAATAACAAAATACAAAATATTTTCTTGCATTTGTAGAGACAAAATTTATATTGCCCCATCTGGTGTACAAAAAGAACGAATTACTTCAGATGATATGTTTGTACAAGATATTAGTGGAAATGACTTAGAAGTTCCTCCAAAAGAGAAAAGATTGAAAAAATCACAGTGTACCCCACTATTTATGTGTGCATATACAAGAAGAAATGCAGGTGCTGTAATTCATACTCATTCCAAGTTTGCTGTAATGGTGTCATTACATTGGCCTGATAAAGAATTTCGTGTTACTCATCTTGAAATGATAAAAGGTATAAAATGAAATAAGTATAAGCATAAAATGCAAAATTGTTACTTGTTTAGTTATCAAATATACTTATATTGTACACTGTAGGCATAAAAAATCAAAAATTGGGAAGGGCATATCGTTATGATGAAAAACTAGTAGTACCAATAATAGAAAACACTCCATTTGAAGAAGATTTAAAAGAGGAATTAGATAGAACTATTACTGATTATCCAGAAACATGTGCTGTATTGGTAAGAAGACATGGTATTTATGTTTGGGGTGATACATGGCAGCAAGCAAAAACTATGTATGTGTAAACTTTGATTATAATGTATCAAATGTAGGCTTCACCTTTTGTTTACTTAAATACCCTTATTATTTTTTTTTTTTTTTTTTAGGGCGGAATGTTACGATTACTTATTTGACATAGCTTTGCAAATGAAATTAAGTGGACTAGACCCAGCTGCAATTCCAGAAGATTACGTATTACGATACTAAGGGAATAAAGTAGTGAATCAACGTTTTTAACAATATATTATAAGTAAAGTATGGTCCAAAAATTGTATATTTTTTTGTGTCCGCATATTTTTATAATTACATGACCGAAGTAAGTAATAATCATTATAAAGAATTGGCTATGATATATTTCACATGTGTTTTATGATTTTCATTACCTTTTAATAAGTACGTGGATCGTGTATTTTAAAAGACGGAATACATTGTTGGCCCGTATCGCTGTGAGCGTCTCAGGCGTACTAAACAGTTAGGGGGTTAACATCTTCAATCATTATTTTAATAAGTTAATAAATTAATATTTCTGTATATTTTACTAAAAAAAATCCATGTATAAATATATATACATATGTTACAATATTGATTTGTTGAATTTTTATACATTTTCAAGTATCTATATCAAATGGCTGGAATTCTCGTCTAATTCGTTTCGCTAACTCAATTTCCTCTTCTTCGTCCAATTGACAATCTTTCCAATCGGATCGATCATTAATGTCTAATATTCTGTCACAAGCTAATACTTCTCTTCCAAATTGAAGTGGAAAATCTTTCTTGATTCTGTAATACAATTTTTCTCTACCCGGTAACTCTACGTAAAAATATAAAACACCCGGTTTTGCAATTTGCTGTAAATCTGCATGTGGTGGCAATTCACTTATTTTAAAATTATTACATTCAGCCATTTCCTGAAACAAAAACACTTATTAATTTATTCTTAGAATATAGCAGCAATCATAAGGATAATTACTTCGAATGTTTCTTTTAGAGCTGGTGCTTGATTTTTATGGATAGGTACAGCTTGTAACTGACAATGAGATGTTTTGTAATTGCGTTCGAAAAATACAGGTACTTTATCCATAGTAGCGTAGTATTTTGTTATAGCACTCTTATACTGGTCCATTTCTTCTTTCACATCTTTTGGTAGGATAGAAAGACTCTGATGATGTGTTATTGGTAAAATCAAGAAATGATTTTCAACCAATCCACCCCTTGCAAGTGCAACATAAATCTCTGTTCCAACTGATATTACTAAATGTTTAGAAACTTCAGGACTAGATAAACAGAACCAGCATTTCGCTTGATCAAATTCTGGTCTGGGTTTCTTGTTAGAACCCTGTGAATACTTAGTCCTCTTGCTACAGTCTTGAGATTCCATGTCATAAAAAAACTGTGTATGTTTTTGCTCTACTTTTTTAGCTGAGGGTTCATTTGATAACATTGATCTAGGATATGGGGTATCTGTTTCATCTGTAGTTTTCATAACTAAGTCTGATAAACGTGTCCTATCAACAGGAGTTAGATTCAATGCATATAACCATTTTTTCTTTTGAGTATTCATGACAGGTGCAAGTGCTATAAATCTTGTTGCAATTTCAATGTTACCATCTTGTAAACTTTGATTCCTAACAATTAAAATATTGAGAAAATAAATGAAACTTTTTGTTCAAACATAAAAACACACCTCCTAATTCTACAGAATTTTCTCCTTACCTATACGGAGGTCTTTCATAATGAATTCCTTCCAAAGCTGCTACATGATATCTAGGTTTTACTTGTGTGGCCAACCATGCAATCAATTTAGAACCTTCATATTTAAAATTTGGTTTATTAGGATCTAAATTTGTAATAGCAGCAGGCCAAGGAGAAGTCATTAATACATCAATTCCACGAAAACTAGGTTGACCTTTCAAGCAAGCTTGTTTAATTGATATAACATCGTTTTCAGTGAAACAAGTAGATTTTGATTCTGAAGATTTACACTCTGTACCACTAATGTAAGCTATCTTAAGTCCAGAACTAGCTGTATACAATCCGCGTTTTCCAAGATAAGTAAGATTTTGACATATTTCGCATCCATCAACGTCCGGATAATTGTCCAAGTCATTTTCTCTATTCGCTCCAATAATGTATGTCGGAACTGGTATATTTTTCATACCCAATTTATACGCTTCCAGTTCCCAATTATTTTTGCCAAAGAAATTTCCGGCGCATAGCAAAAAATCGAACGGCCCACTCTTTTTATTGATTGCTTCAACTTTATTGAATAAAAATGTAAAATGACCTTCTACATCTCCACAAATTAATACTTTTTGTTTTTCGCTCATGTTTAATAATATAACCTCAATTTCAATACACAAAAGAATACACAATCAATATGACGCAAAACGTATATTAAAGACTAATAAATCTTACGATCGAATTCACTTTCTGTTATTATTATTTTATTACTTTTAATTACATAAAAATAGATTTATACATTATTGATGTTTTACCGCGTTTTTAATGTAAATAACTACACGTCTGCATTTATTACTAGACCACTAGATGTACCTGTTAATCTAAAACTAAAGTCCCTATACAATATAACTGTACTTCGTGATAGTACGTCGATCATATAGAAAGTGACAAATATCATGAGAGAATGTTACAGAGATAATCTATCTTTCAAAACTATTTTCTACAGTCGATATGTTCACTTACCTCTTTTACGTTGACACAGCATCAACTATATTATAAAACGAAATTGTTAAAATTGACGTAGTGTAATGCACAGCGACACTCTTTTATCGTTAGTAATGTACAATTTTCTAAATATTGAATGCAAGATTAAAACGACTTTACAAAATGATTACAATACGAAATACAAAATTAGAATTTTCCACAGTATAACAAAACCTTTCTTTACTTAAATCCTTTCAGTGCAGCGTGTAGAAATATCTGTAGCGACGGTCATTTTTAAAACGGTCACATATTGTTACCTTTGCTGTAGAACATAAGTTAAGCAAGGGAAAGCTCGAAACTGCTAGTTACCATTTTGTTGTGAATTTTCGTGTGGTAGCATAGTAATTTGGGCGTGAGAACTTGTTGTTCCGAATAGGCCACCTCGTATCGTTAAATGACCAACATCTGGAAGCTATTCTCGTGTCGTAAAATCTTGCTGGCTACCTGCTGACCGTGCACATCTTTGCGTATATCATTAAAAATATGACCGTGACGAAAGTTTCCAAGCATGTATCCTTCGTTTAATTTCCGAACAATAATCGATGAAAGATGTTGAGAACACCAGGAGGGGGAAAGATCAAACAAATTTGAAACAAACATACCGCTTATCAATCTTTTATTTTTCATCCAGAGAAAATTCTCTAAAAAATACCTTCGGCTGCATATCTGGTAGTATTCGTTTAAAAAATATTTAACCGGGAGCAACAGAGAGAAACCGGAAGAATTTATGTGGAGAACAGCGGAAACTTACCCTTGGGCTTGCTGGTAGCCGAAAAAGTGCAAATAAATGCGCACACATTTGCACAAACTTTCGCACACGCATACACACGTATTATAAACCATTCGTATACCTAGCCAGTTGCTGTAGTGCGCAGAAGCATTAAAAAGAGAAACACAAGAGGAGAGAGGACCGTTGACAAAGAGAGGCGGCAACGGAAGCAACGGCGAAGACATATTGTCCGCGTCAAACAGAACGAGATGGAGAGAAGGTACTCTTGCGTTACCTGTGTTGGTAAAACCATGGAGGGGATAGTTACATAGAGTCGCCACTAGGCGTGGCATGCGGGACCACCCAACCGACCAATCAGAATTGGAGGCGTTATCTGGACGTATAACAATGCTTCGTGTAATACATAGTTCAGCGGTTCTCAGCCAACATCGACTTAACTTTCTAACCTTCAAAGACTTTACAATCTGTCTTTAAATCTTATATTTACAAATAACGAACTTAACGTCGATCGAATAAAAAGTATACAAATTAATTATCTCTGTCTCTATTACGATTCTAAAGAAAGGATCTGTACGAAGAATAAAACGTCGTTCGATTTCCGTATCGTCTTCATGAAAGCCTTTATCACACTGCGGCGGGATGAAAGGGGGTTTAAGTACCGCCTACGTTAGAAATCATTGACACAGGCGCAACTCGTGAGGTTATGCGGCTGCGTTGGTACGACGAAAGCTTTTCCAGAATCGGGAACAGGCGTGTGAGGGAGGCAGTGAGAAACAAAGAGATGGCGCGTGGGAGAGAAAGGGAGACGCGAAAAGAGGGATAGAAAGGGAGGCGCGAGCATAGATAGAGAAAGATGGAAGAAAGGGTAGCAAGTTGGAGGAACGTTGGTCTACGCTCGGTGGGGAGTCCAGCGTGCATCGTGCATCCAGTTGTATACCTAAATGCGTACGGCACTGTTTTAATAGTACACACGCGTAGTCACGGCCCAATGAATTGATCCCGCGAGGTGCATCCCCCCGGATAAAAAAGATGTCGCGCCATCTTTGAGGGCACTCCCGCTTCCAGAGGGCTAACGCGCGCATTTTCGATCGTGGACCGTCAGACAGCGCATACATTTTTTCTCAAGTAAACTCCTATAGAACGCGCGTGTTTAATAAAACGAAGTTCCGTTAAAATTGTCGTTAAAAGCGTATAAAATCGTCGTTAAACCTTTCTCCAATCGAAAATGTTCAGGCGACTGGAAAAGTATAATTTGATAATTAATAAAATTATAATCTAAACGTTAATCGAGGTGTATAATGTATTGAACTAAATGTTTCCGATTTATGCTATACGTTAGTGTTAATTTTTCTCTCGATGGAGTAACTATTATCGTTTCATGGAACAGTTTAGGGGTTAATTGTCGCAAAAGTGTCGTTGTACGCGCGTTTTCGATGCACTGTATAATCGAAAGCGTAAATACATGGTTAGATTTCGTTGAAGTCCCGTCGGATGGGAAGGGACGTGCGTGAAGGAAAGTGCAAAATAAATCTGTCAAAAGACTTTAGAATAGAACGTTGTAACGATAAACTTGTTAGTGTAAAAACTGTGAATCGTATTGTTTGTTTTTCTTTAAATAAATCAACTAATTTAAAAACTTTCTCATGAATCTTGTATAATCATTTTTGCTTCGAAACGTTGTAACAAAACATTTGTAACATGGAACTGTCATAGTGCAACGTGATGATTGCAAATGATTATGTAATCGATAGAATTAGCTAGTATAAGAAGTAACGACAATAATATTCAATGGAATTCCGTAAACGATTGAAGTGCATCAAGTACCGACGGTTTGATCAAAGCTCCTTGGGAAGTTCCTGCTGCCAAATCACTTTCACACCGAGGGTGAATAATTGCTTCTTTCTCTGGTGAAACGCCGGTGAGATTATGGGTTTATTTGAAGGTAAGTGAAACTGTTAGATTCATACATCGACAATTTTCTTTTTCCGGGTTGTATTAACAATGATTTACTTGCAAGGTAAGTACAAAACACAAGAAAAATAGAAGAAGTATCGAAAGATGTGGCTGCAGATTAAGTTCGGATTTAAAGAAAATTCGAGATTAGATCGAGTTCAAATTGGAATTTCTATTTAAATTCAAATATCAAATTTCAAATTTTTGGATTCAAATTTCAACTCTTCCTAGTGCAAGAGTGTCCTTTACCTATTTCCCACGAAACTACGATTTTTCCAATACTTCGATATGCATCTCCTGAGAGACAGACGTGCGAAAAAGGGGTGCCAAAAGAAGAAACGGGGTGCAGCAAAATCACCCAGCAAAACACCTATCCATTACTCGCATCGATCGTTTCGAATCGTGCAAATCTTGCATCGTAACAATTCGATCGAACGTAACGATTTATATGTACAGGTGTAACACGAGAACCAATCGTTTGGATGCTGGCAAATTGTTCCGTCTATAACCATCGAATGTATCCTAATATTACATTACAGTACCCGCATAGTGTCTCATGGGAGACTCAAGAATCACTTTCCCACCCCTTTTCCGGCAACTTCCTCGAGAAGAAACAGCTTCCGATACCCAAGGATCCTCCTCTAAAATTCTTCCGTGATTTCCCTATCACACACCGAATACAAACCACTGAAAATCGCTTTTTCACCCTTTCTCCAATTTCCTCGAGAAGAAACAGCATCCGACACCCAAAGATCTTCCTCTCTCTGAAACTCTTCAAAATCACAAATTTAAATACAAACCACCAAAAACTGATCCTTCAATCACGTCCGTGTACTCGTCACTTAATCCCATTTAACAGTTTCACCGGTTCGCGTTCTTAACTGGTATCGATGAATCGAGAACGCGATACGCACGCGATAAATTAACACGTAACAGGCGCGCGTCTCGGTTTTCACACTTGTCCGACGTTCGTTCTAATCGCTTAAAGTATCCCGTCGCGTCGTTTTCAAAACATTACCGGCCGCGAAGAAGGGAAAGGGGTCGAAATCGACTAGTCGATTCCTCAAAGAGAAGACGTACGAAGTGCCACCCTATTTCGAGATAACAGGCGTAGTATCTTTACGCGTACGTGAATAGGTGCAACGAAAAGCATCCCGCTTTCGGCGCGTTTAAGCACAGCTAAAGTAAATATCAGCGCGTGTTACGTGCCGTGACGAAGGGGCGTGCCGTTTCCTGAAGTCATTTGTCGGGAAAATGTCCGGCTCTCGAGAACGTGATCCTTTTTCCGTGTCCTGCTTGCTACCCTTCCATCGACCGAGACTTATGTCTCCATGCAGCTGTCGCGACAGCGTAAATCTCGTCGGAATCCGTCGCTTCTAATTTTTTCCCTCGTTTAAACACCTACTCCGTGTTTTGAAGATCTTCTTTTTTCATGGAACACTGTATCATTCGTAGTAGGTAGATTTGTATGTTCAAGATTTGGTATATACTTTTTTGTGTCTCGTTTAATCGTGCAGTTGTTTTGGGGTAGGTGGATTACGAACGAGGTTGGTATTAGAGAGTTTTAAATATCGGTTGACGTTTGTTTGGTTTGAAAATCTTTCCCAGCTCGTGTAGATAAAAGTGTTACATTTCTGAGTTTCCGCTATACTTAATCTCGGAGTTATCGAGGAATAACAAAAGATCGAATTATAGAACCAAAGTGTCCCTTAAGGTTGCTTATTTGTTCTCGGTGAAGTCACGCTAGAAGTCTCTCGTTGGAGCCACTTCACGAACGGAGAACAATAAATCGACGATTGATACTTCGAAAATGCAACGTTTCGAGTAACTAATAATAGCAAGATTGTAAGGTCTGAGCGAGTGCACAACGTGCAACATCCTGGCACGTGCGTAAACAGCTCTTTAGGTACTTGCAGCTTCCAGCCCGGCGACACAATAGTCCCGGGAATATAAGCGTTTTGTAACACATCAATTCGTGGAAATCTAAAAGTGACAAAACGTTAACAACCATCTCTGTTCGTTTTTGTCGAGAAAAGAAAACGAAGTCTATTTCCTCTGGAAGCTTTTCCAAGTTTCTCGATATCTCCTAAGCAGTAAAATTAAACTCGCGCCACAAAAATTTATTTAGTCTGACGCGTTCACCGCGCTGCTATCGGAAACAAATCAAATTTGTCGACGTCGTTAAATCACGTCTCTCGGTCGTTCAACGGCCGAGAGAGAACGAGAGAGAACAAATACGGTGGCCCATAAAATCGCGCTCCTACAGGAATCAGCCCTACTTATACTCGAACGTCACTGTGTCGTCGAAGGAACTTTTCCCTTCCGTCTTCCTCCGCCGTTCCCCTTTTGTACGAAAAGAAAACTTCGTTAATGGCTGTACGTATCATGGACCGTGATTATATACCGAAGTTTCCCTGCGGAGGACACAAAGCTGTTCTCTGTTAACGCGCTCCCCCTTCGAGCGTCGCTTTCGAGAGGGTTCTCTATCGACAGATTTTACGAGCTCGAAAACGAACTTGTAAGCGTTCCGGAATTAAATTCCAATTTCCCTCTTATCGCGATTTAATTAATTGTGTTTCTTTCCTTTCTTTCAAGAGATATCAATTTTTTCGGGGGTTTTTTTTTTTGGAGTGGAAAATTGTTTTCTCATGGTTCGCTCGATTTCCTGGTTGTTTGGAGAGGAAACGGAGGCGCGAACTAAGGAACAACGATCCTGATCATCTTCCAGAGGGATCAGAGAGGCCGCAAACTTGTCCAGCTGTTACACGGTCACTTTTGCGGCCGGATAGGTGAAAACGACTTAAGCGTTTCGACATGTGTAGAAACACGACATCGGATACTTCCTTACAGAGACCTCCTACCATAGTTGTTGCTACTCCAATTGAGATTTACGACGTGACATCGTCTAAATGCCGTGAAACCGCCGGTACACGCGTTACCGCGCTCGGTTTTTAGCGCAACAAGTAAATAAATTTCGTAGTCGAGAACTGCCAGTTTGAATCGCAATTTTTCCTAATTATTCATCTCGTAATTCTGCCCTTTAATGAATTTTACTCGTTTTTTTTTCTTTTTCTTTTTTTTTTTTGAGAAATTTCTACCGGATTGTTGGTTTGCAACAATTGTAACGATGGTCGTGTTGCATGGATAAATAGCGAAATTACCGTAGGTACATGCTGACGGAGCAAGAGTTACGAATTCTGTTTTGACTTTCACGCGAAAAAGTTGGCATTTGAAGTTTTTTCGCGATGAAATATGTGAAACAGGACAATAAGTGATAAAGAAGGTTATTTAGTACGAAGCACGGAACAATGCAATTGGCAGTGTTTGACACAAAAGAGGAGTGACGCACTCGTCGCGACGAGAGACTTTGTCTCTCCTTGAAACAGTGATTGAGACAAAGACAGGAGGAAGAAGAAGGAGGAAGAGCGAGAGAGCGAGAGAGGAACACGCCTCCCTTTACGTGAAATCTGTAACCATTCTCGTGCATGTAATTCCCACATGACTAAAAAGGGGGCCCGGTGGTGGGGAGATATGTAACACCGGGATCCCGAGTCAAGCTCTCGAAGTTTAGTTTTGCTTACGACAACTGTAAGTTCCGCCGCCTCTTGTCCTCTGACCTGACTCGCCGCGAGTCAAAGAGATGACAGTGATTCGTTACCGTCGAAAAAGACCCGTGTCACATAGTTAACCGATCGGAAGTGTCACCGTTCTTCGACCACGCGGACATTTGGATACCCCGGGAGCATCATGAAGAGTGAGTAAATTCTCTCGAGTTGCAATTATATCTTCTGCAACATCCTCGATATCTCGTTTAACGAAATTCACGTTCTTCCGAGTGATCTGTTGTCACGGATATATGTGGTGAAAAATAAGTAGGGTTATTTGCAATTTTATCGAAAAAGGATCTCTCTCAACCCTTTAATTTTCAGTGTCTTTCTTTGATGACACATTTATTTCAATTTTGCTTTTGTTGTAATACAGCATATGGAACGTAGTTTACAGTGTAGCTTTAAATATGAAAGAAAAGAAAATAATTTGGTGAAAAGGAAGTGTGACTGTTTCTAACTTTATCAAGAAAGAACCTGTCTTCTTTCGATGACACTTTCATTTTACCTAATTTGCTAATTTGGGTATTAATGGGTTAACTCTACAATTTCACCTACTTCCTACAACACGATCGGTGATTCGTCGAATTTGATTTGCACGATCTTCTTCATGTCAATCTATCATCAAGGGCAGATATACGACGAAGAAGAAGCTTCGTCAAACAAGATTTCGTTCGAAAAAAAGAGTCATTACCGTTGGTATAATAAAATCGACGTTCCATTAGATTCGATTTGCTTTTTCGTCAAAGAAATCCATCCCATCGGAAGGAAACGGCAATTTTTCCCTCTTCTAGCGAACGGTCGCGTTCTTGCGTTTCTCGAGCAACGACTTCCAATAATCCTGCTAAATTGCCAGGCCGGTTGGTCGAAGTTCGTCCGTGTATATCGGGTTGGCTTAGTGAAACAGGAGAGAAATCGTTAAATAAAAGCGGCCATGGAGCCGCAGGTCGAGGGAACGCGGCGAATAGTAAAAAAGAGCAACGTGTGTCGCGGGTCGTCACGGCAGGCAACCCCCATCGTCCCTTATGGCGCACGGCCACGTGAGATTCGAGGATTTCGTCAGGCCCTGCGCTGCCTTTTGTCATCGGCTCGGCCCTGGCCTCAGTTCGTAATTCGCAACGGCGACAACGTCGAGTTACGGCCAAGTAAATTAACTGCACGTTATTTTCTCTCGTTTTTCTTTTTTCTTTTTTTGGTCGTCAGATTTCTCGCAGTTTGTAGATTAATTTAGACGATCTACGTATCGCCTGGTGATAGGAAGATTTAAAGAATCCATGGGATAAAAAATAGATACGAGAACTATCGAAGAATGTGAACAGAAAGTTATTACAGAAACTGCGGCAAATTATAAGAATTGAAGTATACAAACAAATGTTGCGATAGA